ACAAACAAATAACTTTTACCACTTAGAGACAGGATTAAGGAAAAGATGAACGGAGCAAAGTACAGAGAGATCCTTGATGAAAACCTGCTCCAGAGCGCTCAGGACCTCAGACTGGGGCAACGGTTCACATTCCAACAGGACAACGACCCTAAGCACACAACCAAGACAACGCAGGAGTGGCTTCGGGACAAGTTTCTGAATGTCCTTGAGTGGCCCAGCCAGAGCCTGGACTTGAACCCGATCTAACATATCTGGAGAGACCTGAAAATAGCTGTGCAGCGACTCTCCAAATCCTACCTGACAGAGCTTGAGAGGATGGGAGAAACTCCCCAAATACAGGTGTGCCAAGCTTGTAGCGTCATACCCAAGAAGACTTGAGGCTGTAATCGCCGCCAAAGGTTCTTCGACAAAGTACTGAGTAAAGGGTCTGAATCCTTATGTAAATGTGATATATATATTACTTTTGTTATACATATGCAAAAATGTATTTAAACCTGTTTTTGCTTTGTCATTATTGGGTACTGTGTGTAGATTCATGAAGAAAAAAAATGATTTAATTAATTTTAGAATAAGGATGTAACTTAACAAAATGAATACTTTCCGAATGCACTACAGGACAAAATACAAACCCTCCAACCCCAAAAGGCCTGTGGTGTTGATGGTATCCTAAGTGAAATTCTAAAATATACAGACCACAAATTCCAATTGCCTATACTTAAACTCGTTAACATCATCCTCAGCTCTGGCATCTTTCCCAATATTTGGAACCAAGGACTGATAACCCCAATCCACAAAAGTGGAGACAAATTTGACCCCAATCACTACCGGAATATGTTCCGGGATTCTTCCGATGGCATTGAGGAGTACACCACATCAGTCACTGGCTTCATCAATAAGTGCATCAATGACATCGTCCCCACAGTGACCGTACGTACATACCCCAACCAGAAGCCATGGATTACAGGAAACATCCGCACTGAGCTAAAGGGTAGAGCTGCCGCTTTCAAGGAACGGGACTCTAACCCGGACGCTTATAAGAAATCCTGCTATGCCCTCCGACAAACCATCAAACAGGCAAAGAGTCAATACAGGACTAAGATCGAATCGTACTACACCGGCTCTGACGCTCGTCGGATGTGGCAGGGCTTGAAAACTATTACAGACTACAAAGGGAAGCACAGCCGCGAGCTGCAAAGTGACACAAGCCTACCAGATGAGCTAAATCACTTCTATGCTCGCTTCGAGGCAAGCAACACTGAAGCATGCATGAGAGCATCAGCTGTTTCGGATGACTATGTGATCACGCTCTCCGTAGATGATGTGAGTAAGACTTTTAAGCAGGTCAACATTCATAAGGCCGCAGGGCCAGACGGATTACCAGGACGTGTACTCCGAGCATGCGCTGACCAACTGGCAAGTGTCTTCACTGACATTTTCAACATGTCCCTGACTGAGTCTGTAATACCAACATATTTCAAGCAGACCACCATAGTCCCCGTGCCCAAGGACTCTAAGATAACCTGCCTAAATGACTACCGACCCGTAGCACTCATGTCTGTAACCATGAAGTGCTTTGAAAGGTTGGTCATGGCTCACATCAACACCATTATCCCAGAAACCCTAGACCCACAATTTGCATACCGCCCCAACAGATCCACAGATGATGCAAACTCTATTGCGCTCTACGCTACCCTATCCCACCTGGACAAAAGGAACACCTACGTGAGAATGCTATTCATTGACTACAGCTCAGCGTTCAACACCATAGTGCCCTCAAAGCTCATCACTAAGCTAAGGACCCTGGGACTAAACACCTCCCTCTGCAACTGGATCCTGGACTTCCTGACGGGCCGCCCCCAGGTGGTAAGGGTAGGTAACAACACATCTGCCACGCTGATCCTCAACACGGGGGCCCCTCAGGGGTGCGTGCTCAGTCCCCTCCTGTACTCCCTGTTCACCCATGACTGCATGGCCAGGCATGACTCCAACACCATCATTAAGTTGTGGTCCTCTGTAGCTCAGCTGGTAGAGCACGGCGCTTCTAACGCCAAGGTAGTGGGTTCGATCCCCGGGACCACCCATACACAAAAATGTATGCACGCATGACTGTAAGTCGCTTTGGATAAAAGCGTCTGCTAAATGGCATATTATATTATTATTATAAGTTTGCAGACGACACAACAGTGGTAGGCCTGATCACCGACAACGGTGAGACAGCCTATAGGGAAAAGGTCAGAGACCTGGCCGTGTGGTGCCAGGATAACAACCTCTCACTCAACGTGATCAAGACAAAGGAGATGATTGTGGACTACAGGAAAGAAAAGAGGACTGAGCACGCCCCCATTCTCATCGACGGAGCTGTAGTGGAACAGATTGAGAGCTTCAAGATCCTTAGTGTCCATATCACCAACAAACTATCATGGTCCAAACACACCAAGACAGTCGTGAAGAGGGCACGACAAAGCCTATTCCCCCTCAGGACACTGAAAAGATTTGGCATGGGTCCTCAGATCTTCAAAAAGTTACAGCTGCACCATCGAGAGCATCCTGACTGGTTGCATCACCGCCTGGTATGGCAACTGCTTGGCCTCCAACCGCAAGGCACTACAGAGGGTAGTGCGTACTGCCCAGTACATCACTGGGGCCAAGCTTCCTGCCATCCAGGACCTATATACCAGGAGGTGTGTTCTTAACAGCTTCTACCCCCAAGCCATAAGACTCCTGAACAGCTAATCATGGCTACCCAGACTATTTGCACTGCCCCCCACCCCACCCCATCCCCCTCTTTTACGCTGCTGCTACTCTGTTTATTATTTATGCATAGTCACTTTAACTCTACCCACATGTACATATTACCTCAATTACATCGACTAGCTGGTGCCCCCACACATTGACTCTGTACCGGTACCCCCCTGTATATAGCCTCCCTACTGTTATTTCACATTGACTCTGTACCGGTACCCCCCTGTATATAGCCTCCCTACTGTTATTTCACATTGACTCTGTACCGGTACCCCCTGTATATAGCCTCCCTACTGTTATTACACATTGACTCTGTACCGGTACCCCCTGTATATAGCCTCCCTACTGTTATTTATTTTACTGCTGCTCTTTAGTTATTCGCTTTTATTTCTTTACTTAACACTTTTTTTATTTCACTTTTTCTTTAAAAAACTGCATTGTTGGTTAAGGGCTCGTAAGTAAGCATTTCACTGTAATGTCTACACCTGCTGTATTCGGAGCATGTGGCAAATAAAATTTGATTTGATATCCATCAACAGCAACCTTGGGAAAATGCTCAATGAAAACAATGTACTGAACAAATTTTTACCAAATTACCGTATGACAGACCACGTATTCACCCTGCACACCCTTATTGACAAACAAACAAAACAAAGTTTTCTCATGCTTTGTTGATTTCAAAAAAGGTTTTGACTCAATTTGGCATGAGGGTCTGCTATACAAATTGATGGAAAGCGGTGTTGGTGGAAAAACATACAGCATTATAAAATCCATGTACACAAACAAGTGTGTGGTTAAACACATTTCTTTCCACAGGGCCGTGGGGTGAGACAGGGATGCAGCTTGAGCCCCACCCTCTTCAACATGTATCAACGAATTGGCGAGGGCACTAGAACAGTCTGCAGCACCCAGCCTCACCCTACTAGAATCTGAAGTCAAATGTCTATTGTTTGCTGATGATCTGGTGCTTCTGTCCCCAACCAAGGAGGGCCTACAGCAGCACTTAGATCTTCTGCACAGATTATGTCAGACCTGAGCCCTGACAGTAAATCTCAGCAAGACAAAAATAATGTCTTTCCAAAAAAGGTCCAGTTGCCAGGACCACAAACCAAATTCCATCTAGACACCGTTGCCCTAAAGCACAAAAAAAACATACCTACCTCGGCCTAAACATCAGCACCACAGGTAACTTCCACAAAGCTGTGAACAATCTGAGAGGCAAGAAGGGCCTTCTACGCCATCAAAAGGAACATAAAATTCAACATTAGGGACTGGGAGACTAGTCAGGATCGAGGAAAAGATTAATGGAGCAAAGTACAGAGAGATCATTGATGAAAACCTGCTCCAGAGCGCTCAGGACCTCAGACTGGGGTGAAGGTTCACCTTCCAACAGGACAACGACCCTAAGCACACAGCCAAGACAATGCAGGAGTGGCTTCGGGACAAGTCTCTGAATGTCCTTGAGTGGCCCAGCCATAGCCTGGACTTGAACCCGATCGAACACCTCAAGAGAGACCTGACAATAGCTGTGCAGCAACGCTCCCCATCCAACCTGATAGAGCTTGAGAGGATCTGCAGAGAAGAATGGGAGAAACTCCCCAAATACAGGTGTGCCACGCTTGTAGCGTCATACCCAAGAAGACTCGATGCAGTAATCGCTGCCAAAGGTGCTTCAACAAAGTACTGAGTAAAGGGTCTGAATACTTATGTAAATGTGATATTTCCGTTTTGCTTTGTCATTATGGGTTATTGTGTGTAGATTGATGAGGGGAAAAAAAACTATTTAATCAATTTTAGAATAAGGCTGTAACGTAACAAAATGTGGAAAAAGTCAAGGGGTCTGAATACTTTCTGAAGGCACTGTATGTATTGATATGTAGGCTATATGTATGTATGAATCTGATATGTCACTTTTTTTATTTATTTTTATCCAACATTGTACATTGGAGATATAATCGATTATACACTCCTGGGCTGCACGCGCACCATACAAATATGAAATAGAACATCGTCCAGGCTTGACGTAGTCATTGACTGCCTGGCTGCACCAGATGGCAGTGTACGAGTGGGTTTCTTTTGACAATGAACGTCGGACTACAGCCATATATTTTTGAACCTAGAAGACCTATAGACGGCAGGTTGGCTAAAGTAATGTCTAGTTGGTCAGAAAAGTATGAGAAGTTACAGAGTGAGTGTCTTTGATAACTGCCTAGTTGGTTAGCTAGCTATTTAAGTGTAAAACACAGCTAGCTAGATAATGAACCAACTGCAATTATCATAAACCTTTATTATCCAGGTAGCTACAGTAGCTAAATATCTGTCAGATGTAAAGTAAGCAGGATCGTGGCATGTCAGAAACAATACATGTTGGCTAGCTAACTCACGCGAGCGAGCGAGCGAGCTAATGCCTACAGATGTATCTCGGGGGTGAAGCCTACTTTCTGAATTAAGCAATAGTCGATACTTCTAGAATTAATAGGGTTGTTATTTAGTCGTAAAAATTAATGAAAACAAACATTTGCTTTTCTGGTCTTAATTTAAGGTTAGGTATAAGGTTATCAGCGTGGTTAGGTTAGGCTTAGGTTTAAAATCAGATTTTATGAAGAGAATTTGGATAAATATGTGGGATGTATGACTTTGTGGCTGTGGTAACTAGTGACAAACACTGCTGTCATTTACAGGCATGAATCATGCATCCAGGTTGAAGTTTGCGATCAGCAGGAACATGGAACTTGCCAGTAAGTTATGATATTATCTTTTCCTTTACATTGCATTATACCATTTCAAGAGCTAATACTGCACTCATATAAGAAGTGGAGAAGTCTTATGCACCAAACAACGGTCTACTCCTGGAGCAACTCTGGAGCAACTCCTTGTCAGAGAGACTGTTGGTGAGATGAGACGTAGTGCCATAATATAAATAATATCTTAGCTAGTTATAAATTCACATGTATGCAATATAATTTGTCGTAGCTGTTATCTCTGCAGGTTTGTCATCTGATTTTTTGGAGCCTGGTGGAGATAGATGCCACCATTCTACAAGGCAGGACATTTCTCTGACCCAGGAACATGGAGCACTCCGTATCAGTAAATCATTATATTATTGTTTTGCTTTACATTGCATGATACTAGCCAGGAGGCCCTGGGCCAGTGGGAGGTATACTAGCCAGGAGGCCCTGGGCCAGTGGGAGGTATACTAGCCAGGAGGCCCTGGGCCAGTGGGAGGTATACTAGCCAGGAGGCCCTGGGCCAGTGGGAGGTATACTAGCCAGGAGGCCCTGGGCCAGTGGGAGGTATACTAGCCAGGAGGCCCTGGGCCAGTGGGAGGTATACTAGCCAGGAGGCCCTGGGCCAGTGGGAGGTATACTAGCCAGGAGGCCCTGGGCCAGTGGGAGGTATACTAGCCAGGAGGCCCTGGGCCAGTGGGAGGTATACTAGCCAGGAGGCCCTGGGCCAGTGGGAGGTATACTAGCCAGGAGGCCCTGGGCCAGTGGGAGGTATACTAGCCAGGAGGCCCTGGGCCAGTGGGAGGTATACTAGCCAGGAGGCCCTGGGCCAGTGGGAGGTATACTAGCCAGGAGGCCCTGGGCCAGTGGGAGGTATACTAGCCAGGTCTCTCTCTCTTTCTAGAACTCTCTACCTCTATCCGTCTCTCTCCAGGTGCTACAGAGACATCTGACCAACTAGCTGCGATCTCTCCAAAACACAGAGATGTAAGCTCCACTCATAACAGTATACTCTGTAAACCTCCTCCACTGTGGCAGTCTGCTTGTGTGATGCTAGCATATTATCAAGGGCCAATGGTTGGATTGGAGTTACTGTACTCCCTCCAACTCATGCTCTCTCCTCCCTGTAAAAGTCTCCCAGACGTATCAAAACGTGTCCATCCCCCTGTTCCCAGGTGAGTCTGCTGGCCCATGGAACTCTAGAGAAGCACATCAAAACACCTTCCATCCTGTTGTCAGCAGGCCGTTCCCTGAGGAAGGATGCAACTATCAAGGCTTTCAAAGGCAACATTTTGGGGATGACCAACTGCAATAAAGTTTTGTATAAACAATTCATTTTCATGTTTGTATTGTAAGATTACAAAACAATAACTTTTTCATAGCATATTTGACATGTTGGTCTTCAATTTTTTATGAACTTCTGTGAAAACTTCAACATCCAGACAAATACACTTAGAGTTTCTGATTTAAAAGGTCTAAAATAAATGCAAGTCTCATGTCCAGAGAGAATACATGTTTATTAACGTATATCATACAGGTGTCTCAACTAAAATATATATCCCGACAAGATTGAAGAATGTAAGTCGATGCTTGCGTCTGTAGCAGTTGGTGTGAATTTGAGTGGTTACATACAATACATGTTGACAGAATGGCTGTGAGGCAGAGAGAGTGTTGCTGTACTCCCAGGTAAGGGCCAGTAGGAGGTCAGGTCTCTCTACCTCTATCCGACAGAATGGCTGTGAGGCAGAGAGAGTGTTGCTGTACTCCCAGGTAAGGCCCTGGGCCAGTAGGAGGTCAGGTCTCCCTACCTCTATCCGACAGAATGGCTGTGAGACAGAGAGAGTGTTGCTGTACTCCCAGGTAAGGCCCTGGGCCAGTAGGAGGTCAGGTCTCCCTACCTCTATCCAACAGAATGGCTGTGAGACAGAGAGAGTGTTGCTGTATTCCCAGGTAAGGGCCAGTAGGAGGTCAGGTCTCCCTACCTCTATCCAACAGAATGGCTGTGAGGCAGAGAGAGTGTTGCTGTATTCCCAGGTAAGGCCCTGGGCCAGTAGGAGGTCAGGTCTCCCTACCTCTATCCAACAGAATGGCTGTGAGGCAGAGAGAGTGTTGCTGTATTCCCAGGTAAGGGCCAGTAGGAGGTCAGGTCTCCCTACCTCTATCCGACAGAATGGCTGTGAGACAGAGAGAGTGTTGCTGTATTCCCAGGTAAGGCCCTTGCTTCTGGAAGGTCCCAGTATTCAGACAGGCAGCTTGAAGAAGATGATGTCACCATCCAAGTCCATGTAACAGCATGCAGGGGTCTGATAGGGAGATGACAATAAATACATGATGTATCTTTCATCACCAAAGACGTTAGCATTTACTGCACATGTTGATCAACAATTCAACCCTTTTGTCAGTGTCATTGATATATGGAAATTCACATACAATATTCAGTTCATAAGCAGTGACAGTAATACTGGGGTCCTGTGGTGAAAGACTGCTGAGCAAGGTATTGGGCAACAGATTTCCTCCCAGGCTCGTATTCACAAAGAGTCTTCAGAGTAGGAATAGTGATCTGGGACCAGCTCCCTCTTGTCAATGTAATCGTATTCATTGTGAGATAAAACGCAAAACTGATCCTAAATCAATACTCCTACTCTGAGCTGCTTTGTGAATGCGGTCCCTGGTCTGTCTGCATGCTGGCCTGTACGGTCCCTGGTCTGTCTGCATGCTGGCCTGTACGGTCCCTGGTCTGTCTGCATGCTGGCCTGTACGGTCCCTGGTCTGTCTGCATGCTGGCCTGTACGGTCCCTGGTCTGTCTGCATGCTGGCCTGTACGGTCCCTGGTCTGTCTGCATGCTGGCCTGTACGGTCCCTGGTCTGTCTGCATGCTGGCCTGTACGGTCCCTGGTCTGTCTGCATGCTGGCCTGTACGGTCCCTGGTCTGTCTGCATGCTGGCCTGTACGGTCCCTGGTCTGTCTGCATGCTGGCCTGTACGGTCCCTGGTCTGTCTGCATGCTGGCCTGTACGGTCCCTGGTCTGTCTGCATGCTGGCCTGTACGGTCCCTGGTCTGTCTGCATGCTGGCCTGTACGGTCCCTGGTCTGTCTGCATGCTGGCCTGTACGGTCCCTGGTCTGTCTGCATGCTGGCCTGTACGGTCCCTGGTCTGTCTGCATGCTGGCCTGTACGGTCCCTGGTCTGTCTGCATGCTGGCCTGTACGGTCCCTGGTCTGTCTGCATGCTGGCCTGTACGGTCCCTGGTCTGTCTGCATGCTGGCCTGTACGGTCCCTGGTCTGTCTGCATGCTGGCCTGTACGGTCCCTGGTCTGTCTGCATGCTGGCCTGTACGGTCCCTGGTCTGTCTGCATGCTGCTGTCTAGTGACTCCCTCTTCATCTGAAATGCAACAACAGCAAAAACATGAATAAGAATTAGCCGGGGTTAGTTAGTTAGTTAAGTTAATTAGTCAGTCAGTAACTTAGTTAACTAATGAAACACTAATGTAAACGTGCACAAGCCTTTTCATCCAAATTGTACCAAAACAACACAGCATATTTGCAGGGAAATCATAGAGGGGCATGTTTCAGTCACCAGTGCATCAATAAGCAGGAATTAAGTAGTTAGACTATTTTTTTCTCACAATAGTCGGTATTATAGCTGGAAAATATACATTACCAGTCAAAAGTTTGGACACACCTTCTCATTCAAGGGTTTTTCTTTATTTTTACTATTTTCTACATTGTAGAATAATAGTGAAGACATCAACACTATGATGTTAAAAGTGCCTTCTTAAAAGTTAATTTGTGGAATTTCTTTCCTTCTTAATGCGTTTGAGCCAATCAGTTGTGTTGTGACAAGGTAGGGGGGGTATACAGAAGATAGCCCTATTTGGTAAAAGACCAAGTCCATATTATGGCAAGAACAGCTCAAATAAACAAAGAGAAACGACCGTCCATCATTACTTTAAGACATGAAGGTCAGTCAATACGGAACATTTCAAGAACTTTTAACGTTTCTTCAAGTGCAGTCGCAAAAACCATCAAGCGCTATGATGAAACTGGCTCTCATGAGGACCGCCACAGGAAACACCCAGAGTTACCTCTGTTGCAGAGGGTAAGTTCATTAGAGTTAACTGCTCCTCAGAAATTGCAGCCCAAATAAATGCTTCACAGAGTTCAAGTCACAGACACATCTCAACAACAACTGTTCAGAGGGGACTGTGTGAATCAGGCCTTTATGGTCGCATTGCTGCAAAGAAACCACTACTAAAGGACACCAATAAGAAGAAGAGACTTGCTTAGGCCAAGAAACACGAGCAATGGACATTAGACCCGTGGAAATGTGTCCTTTGGTCCAAATTGAAGATTTTTGGTTCCAACCGCTGTGTCTTTGTGAGACGCGGTGTGGGTGAACGGATGATCTCCGCATGTGTCGTTCCCACCGTAAAGCATGGAGGAGGAGGTGTTATGGTGTGGGGGTGCTTTGCTGGTGACACTGTCTGTGATTTATTTAGAATTCAAGGCACACTTAACCAGCATGGCTACCACAGCATTCTGCAGCGATACGCCATCCCATCTGGTTTGGGCTTAGTGGGACTATCATTTGTTTTTCAACAGGACAATGACCCAACACACCTCCAGGCTGTGTAAGGGCTATTTTACCAAGAAGGAGAGTGATGGAGTGCTGCATCAGATGACCTGGCCTCCACAATCCCCTGACCTCAACCAAATTGAAATGGTTTGGGATGAGTCGGACCGCAGAGTGAAGGAAAATCAGCCAACAAGTGCTCAGCATATGTGGGAACTCCATCAAGACGGTTGGAAAAGCATTCCAGGTGAAGCTGGTTGAAAGAATGCCAAGAGTGTGCAAAGCTGTCATCAAGGCAAAGGGTGGCTACTTTGAAGAATCTCAAATATAAAATATATTTAGATTTGTTTAACACCTTTTGGGTTACTACATGATTCCATATGTGTTATTTCATAGTTTTGATGTCTTCACTATTATTCTACAATGTAGAAAATAGTAAAAATAAAGAAAAACCCTTGAATGAGTAGGTGTGTCCAAACTTTTGACTGGTACTGTATACAGTAGTTGTTATTTTCTAGAAACCTAACAACAGTCCACTTAGCTAGCTAAGGTGGTGAACTCAGACTGATCGTGGGAGTTAGGTAACGTTAGCTAACTTTCCCCCAGCAGTTTCAATCTAGCTAGCTAGCTAATGGCATTATTACCAACTTTATCAATCACATGGATTGCTTAGCAAATATAGCTATTTGTTTTCCCCTGGCATGTAAATCTGCCTAATACAGCTTGCCAGTTGCTAGTAAAGTAGCGTGAATAAGTCAGAAGCCAGCTAGCAATGCCAAGTTTATGCCTTTTACCAACAAAAGTCATGTACACATATAAAATAGATAATTACCTTCAAGCAGATCATGTTAGTTTCATTCTAAGACTTCAGGCCGAGGAGTAATAGCTCCTTGTTTGTAGAACCGGCGTCTTCACCAGATGTTGTCTCAGTCAGCTCCAGTCTTCACCAGATGTTGTCCCAGTCAGCTCCAGTCTTCACCAGATGTTGTCCCGGTCAGCTCCAGTCTTCACCAGATGTTGTCCCAGTCAGCTCCAGTCTTCACCAGATGTTGTCCCAGTCAGCTCCAGTCTTCACCAGATGTTGTCCCAGTCAGCTCCAGTCTTCACCTGAACCAAAGTCACAGGCTAAATCACAGGTTGTCATGTACTTGAGGGGGCGTTGCTTACTAGCGCATGTGCTGCACATATTTCTTTCTTTAGCAGCCCGGGGGAAAATATAATAATAATAATAATAATATATTTTTAAATGGTATTGCCATCTACAAGGGTTGTGTGTTCTCTATATACTGAACACAAATATAAACACAACATGTAAAGTGCTGGTCCCATGTTTCATGAGCTGAAATAAAATATATTTTCTGTACGCACAAAAAGCTTACTTCTCTCAGATTTTGTGCACAAATTTGTTTACATCCCTGTTAGTGAGCATTTCCCCTTTGCCAAGATAATCCATCCACCTGACAGGTATGGCATATCACACCTCCCAGGCCCACCAATGGCTGCGCCCCTGCCCAGTCATGTGAACTCCATAGATTAGGGCCTAATGAATTTATTTATATTGACTGATATCCTTATATGAACTGTAACTCAGTAAAATCGTTGAAATTGTTGCATGCACAAACTGAGCAATCAGGGGAGAAGGGCCTTGGTCAGGGAGGTGACCAAGAACCCGATGGTCACTCTGACAGAGCTCCAGAGTTCCTCTGTGGAGATGGGAGAACCTTCCAGAAGGACAACCATCTCTGCAGCACTCCACCAATCAGGCCTTTATGGTAGAATGGCCAGACGGAAGCCATTCCTCAGTAAAAGGCACATGACAGCCCACTTGGAGTTTTCCAAAAGGCACCTAAAGGACTCTCAGACCATGATAAACAAGATTTTCTTGTCTGATGAACCCAAGATTGAACTCTTTGGCCTGAATACCAAGCGTCACGTCTGGAGGAAACCTGGCACCATCCCTAAGGTGAAGCATGGTGGTGGCAGCATCATGCTGTGTGGATGTTTTTCAGCAGAAGGGACTAGTCAGGATCGAGGAAAAGATGTACAAAGCAAAGTACTGAGAGATCCTTGATGAAAACCTGCTCCAGAGCGCTCAGGACCACAGACTGGGGTGAAGGTTCACCTTCTAACAGCACAACAACCCTGAGCACACAGCCAAGACAATGCAGGAGTGGCTTCGGGACAAGTCTCTGAATGTCCTTGAGTGGCCCAGCCAGAGCCCGGACTTAAACCCGATCGAACATCTCTGGAGAGACCTGAAAATAGCTGTGCAGCGACGCTCCCCATCCAACCTGACAGAGCTTGAGAGGATCTGCAGAGAAGAATGGGAGAAACTCCCCAAATGTCAAGGTTCTAGAATCATACCAAAGAAGACTCGAGGCTGTAATGGCTGCCAAAGGTACTTCAACAAAGTACTGAGTAAAGGGTCTGAATACTAATGTAAATGTGATATTTCTGTT